AGGTGACCTAAGCTATCCACACTTTTTTTCGTTTGGTTTTGACTAAACCAATTGGGACCTTTTACAGTTTTCTAGTGTTAGAAATATGTAAATCTGGAAGCTTACCAAAAAATTATCTACGTAGTACAATACAATTTTCTTTAAAATAGAATAGCATTGGCTTTGCAAAATAGAGATTTCGAGGTTTTAGTATAACGGTAAGAAAGTTTATAATAATGTTTTGATGTCAGGGTCTTAGAATTTTATAATAAGTTTTAACAAAAGTTTGGTAACTCTAGAGGATGATTAACAGTATATAAGGGACTTTATGTTTAAGCTGTTCTAAGAATAGTGATCACAAAACTTATCAATTAAAACTGATTGGTATTTGGGTGAACCCACTTAAACAAAGTACAAATGCGTTTCACTGAATCCCTCAAGGACATTATTTAGTGTCTTCCATTCCGTATGAGAATGACATGAAGTTGCCCCAAAATTAGAACCAAAACAAGGCTAGACAATCTCTTCCTCAAATAAGTTATAGGATGTAGCTGGTAGTCTAAAATTGTTATTAATAAGATAACCAGGCGAATGAGTAATAGGAAACTTACAAACTTTGGTGATTCAGGAAATAAGTATTAAGGAAGATTCTGGCAAATTTGATAAAAATCACGTTAATTTATCGGATATACCTCTGGTCAAAAGCATAAATTCGCTGTACCTAGTAAAGAGGGCAATTATAGTTTTATAATGGTCGGCTTTTTTAGTTTAATAGGTAGATCACCATAAACTGTTAAGATTAGTATAAAGCTAAACGTGATTCCTTGCATCTTGTATTCGGCTAATCATTTCCAAATATTGCTTCTCTAGTAGCCTAACAGTTTTGCGGGCGAAAAATGGGAGTAATGGCTATGATAAGACATTTGCTCATCCAATTCACGTAGATACATATAAGCTTTTAATGAAATATACAACCGACTCGAAACTTGCTTGAGAATGCCCTTACGTTTTATGTTTATGACGTAAACATGGACTGGGCATATACAGCTTGCGGCCATCCATAGATGCATAGGGAATGGATCCCTCTTAGTTGTAAATAATACAAGTGCGATGAATGGGACCTCACTTGTATAATGCAGACACTTGATAAAGTTGCCTGGAATTAGTTACGCATTAAATTACTTAAGAATTTTGCAATCATACCAATATTCTGGTCCTGATAGCCATGTAAGCTCTTACGTTCATTCTTAGGAGGAAACTTTTTTAGGGACGTGATAGCTGTCGAGATCTAGCTGACTTTATTGACAGTAACTGTAAACACATGTTGTATGAATCCATAAATCATGCGCTTCCTAGTGTCTACAAAGATGTTATAATTGCCCAGCTTGCATTTGGAACTTTCCCTCCAGCAAGTCCTTTAACAAAATCTTTGCCGCATTAAAATTGACGTAGTGGTAATTTGTGCTCTTGGATAAACTATCAGATAGCTGTAATAGCTATATCTAAAACTGGCACACGGAGTACCTCATGCTCAGATCCAGCATTGTTACATTTAAAATCTTCACACTTTGCATTACTTAGCAATTGAATATAGAATACAGCTCAATGAAGCTAACTTGCCGTCGAAATTTATTAATAAAAAGTTTTTATAAAAAGATCCTGTTTTAGAGTAAACGCCATCTTTTTATAAAGTACACAAAACAATGTATCTCAATGCATGAACAATATGTAAAATTGCTTATATTGGTTTGACTTGTATCCTTTAGCAGTGCCATTTTTCTTCCTGTTTATTATTATTTTAATTCCAAACCCAATCAGGAGGTGTGCCGATTCGGTGGAGCCGAGCTTCACTCGGTTGCTGCCCTTCTTGGTGGACTTGCCGCTCAGGAGGTGATCAAGTTGGTAACGCATCAATTTGTGCCCATCACTCGCCCCTTGATCTATAACGCGATCACTAGTGAGACCTACCTGCTTGAGCTTACTTGAATCTAGCTTCTGCTGTTAATCTGTTCTAATGAATTATTTTTGATGAGTCGTTCATACAGAAGGGCATGTGCCCAAAAGCATTTGATTACGGCACGACTTAATTGGTCTTCCATTACTATGTCCAATGTCATAGACAACGCACTTCCTCTTTCATGAACAGATATTACAAGCTTTTTCTTGTTTAAAAATTCCTCTCTAACCAAATATATAAAAAAAAGAACTACATGTATTAACTGGTATTTCCGTCTGTTATTACATTTTCATATTACTACCAGAGCCATTTCATTTATTAATGTGTGAATAGAAGCGCCAAAAGTCGTGATGGCAAGAAGACAGGAAGGCAGGAAGACTTAGAAGAACGCACCTTGTCCGGAGTCCATTGTATGCACAATCATTTCCAAAATCGGACCGTGGACGTGGTACATTCCCAGACGTTTCGCCGGCATCGTCAGTGAGTTTTGCCAGTCGTAGCACCATATTACAACTCGTCAAAAGAGACAAGTGAAGCCCATCCTTTGACCAAACGTGTGCTAAACAGTTGTGATATCTCCCTTTCTGCCTTGGGCTATTCACATTTCCTATATCCTCCTATCACGCCTTCCCAGTCACAATTTTTTACCGTGGTTATTTCGATGTTATGTGGTGTGCTCCTTCGAGCGGCATTCATGGAATCCCTTCACACTCCACGCTGTCCTTCTCACCCCCTTTACCCTTATGCTGGGAATTTTGACCAGTATCATATTGTTACGTGGTCCTTCCCTGGGTCCTATCAGAGTCTCCCTGGGAGCACACGTTTGGTTAAAGGATCGGTTCACTTATCTCTTTGAAGAGTTGGAATATGGTGCTACGAATGGCAAAACTCACTGACGATGCCGGTGAAACGTCTGGGAATGTACCACATCCACGGTTATGATTATGCATATAATGGATTTCTGACAAGGTTTGTTCCTCTAAGTCTTCCTACCGATATGACCAAGTTGCGAAAACAAGATCAAACAATTTCTAAACAATGAAAGGAAACTGCGACCACACAAAAGGCCACACCATCTTGGTCTTCATACCTTCAAGATAACTTTCATTTCTCTACTTAATATGAAATCTAGTGTGAATGTATAATATTGAGCAGAAGAATAATTCGGGTCTTAAGTTGAGTTCAGAATCATTTATTAAGGTCTAGCTATTCTTGTATTAAACTTATTTATAATTATGGCACATAAAGGAGAGATTCATAGACCACCATTACCGATAAACTTATCACAAGTCATTATGGGCCTCTATACATGCGTCTAGCATTTATTTTTATGGCACTCTACAGGATGCTGTCGGCCAGTTAAACTTAATTTGTACTGATTTGCACATCTTCATAGAAAGTCATCGTTCATTGTGATAGTTTACCATTTATACTATACATATTTAGACTAAAAGACGACTGGAGAGAATAAAGATAAACACAACTGCAGTCACCAAACATCTTCCACTCGCAATTGTCTCGAATCCATTTTTTTTCAAACGTGTCGGATAAAACAAGAGCAAAATTATTTATATCTATTCATCTTTTAGTGATAAACACAGCTCAGATTTATGAGAATTTTTGGAGGGTTGGGTCGTGAATCATACATAATTATTACCTCAACAGACATGATAATAATCAGACTTTCCACTTGAGTGGCATATACTCTATACTGGGATGAATTGGCCTTTGATGTTAAAAACGAATAACTAAAAGCGCGTTGGTTGGTGGAAAATAAGCTTATTTAAC